AAACATATTTTCATAAAACAACTTACAAGAGCAGCATTCTGTAAAATCTTGCCCTGTAATCATCAATGAGATGAACTGTCTTGGATATTAGGGGACATACTATTTGACACACTCAGCAATGTTGAATAGCAGCAGCACCTGGAGCCCATCAGGAGAATGAAGTTTCAACTCCTGTAGAGGTAAGTATAGGGCATCTTCTTGCAAAGGGCTGCTTTGGCAAGTTATTTAACCTGATAGCAAGGTCACTTTAGGTATTTGTCTTTAATATTTAAACAAAATTACTTAAGGATTAGATGGAGTTAAAGGGACTAAACTAAAAACATTTATGTAGAAAATAAATATGCAATTCATCATTCCATCAGGGCTCTGTTGTTTCAAATAATTCTACACTGGCCCTTTGACTTCTCTTGCTTAGTTTACATTAAGGAGATGTTGACATAGTTACATAGTTAGTCAAGTAATAAATAAAAAAATCAACGAAATACCACTTTGGGAGACTTAAATTGTGTTGACTAATGGTCTGTATATGGTTATGTACCATATAGTATCCCTCTACTGTCAAACAGTGCTGTATGAACTTACACCTATGATTACCACAGCATTCATCAATCCATAGTGCAGCATCCATTCTTTGTGTGGTTATAACAGAACTCTGGGCATACTGTTATGAAAAATTGTTGACAAGCCTTGGAATAGAAAACATTTGCTACTGAAACCTCCTTCCGTCCAGTGTTCTATAACTAAGCTTGTGATGGACTCTAGGGAGAAAATTATCCTAACAAGAGCCAGTATAAGAAAATTATAGGTAAGTATGACAACAATTTTACATATTCCTGGTTCACTTCATTTCAGCATGTTGGTGGGATTTGAATAGTAATAATAGGGGAAAGAAAGTAGGAACAGGGAAGACTGACACCTTAAAAAAGGTTGTAATCAAAAGACAAGACCTAGAAACAATTAAACCCCCAAATGACTGAAATGAACCACAAGCTACATCCTGCTTGTAGTGTAAAATTTGCATTGAGAGTGCTCAAAATAGCCTCTTTGCTCATAATATCTGTTGAGAACTGGGCACACGATGCTCATGATATTGACACACCTATCATCAAATGTGCCCTGATCTCTTAATATGAGGGAAATGTTTACCATCTGAAGTACCTTGACAATTCAACCCAAGATAATTCTGAAAGAAGCTGGAGCACCCTTCTTTGGACCCTTAGGGAAGATGAAAAGCCTGTGTAAATAACCACCCGAGCCAAACAAACACCATACAGTATCTCATATCTCAAAGATCTAATAAACCATATACATTAGACAGCGCTTGCAACAAATTAGCAATATTTGAAAACAGTATGTTAAAAAAATGTGCTGATTAGAAAAACAAAATCCTCTTTTTCTATAACATACATCCATATATGTGCAAAGTCCAAAAGAAAAAGACATTAGTTGGCTACTCAGTGTGCATTCCAACTAGAGCAGAAGTGACACACCGGAAGTTACGCTTGACAAGTTTTGTCATCAATACGTAAAGTCTTCAGAAACTTCTGAAGATGTCACGTATTGATGGTGAAACATGTCAGGAGGAACTTTTGGTTCATCACTTCTGACCTAGTTGGAATGCATGCTGAGGAGCTGGCAGCTTTCTAACAGACTGTAGAAACATTGCCTGAATTTTTTTTGGCAAGTGGTGCCAGCTAATAAGTGAGCTTTGGTCCTTTGGTGAGCACAAAGTGCAGTTTGACTTTTCTTCTTATAAAACAAGGGGGTCATTGCAATCTGGTGAGTGCTGAGTGTTCTATATGTGCATGTGGTGAAACACTAACAAGTGATGTTTCTGACTACAAGCTCTCTTTCTGCCTTTCGTGGATTTCCATTTCTACAAAATTCTTTGTTCTCTGAAGATATTCCAAAATCAAAGGCTCTAAGTCAAGTATTTCTAGGGGAAACAAGTCTGAAAGTAGGGGACTGTGGTGGAAACATGGCACCACTATCTCCCAACTGAAGTAGAATATCAAAATGACCTTAGGAAGGTAACCTGGACAGGATATGAATTTATCTGAAAATAGCTGGCAGTACAGTTTCTCATTTGATAAAGTATCTATTTTTTTAACAATGTGCATACAACTGATGCAAGGAAAGCTGTCAGCACAGATAAGTGACAAAGAGAACAGGAGGGAAGGGTGGGGAAGACTGTAAAAAAGATAGAACTTTTAGAAGCAAGGGCAGGTACCATTGCAGGAAGAACGGATTAAAGGGAGGTCTTATCTTCATTGCTGTTCTGAGGAATTTAATCACATTGATACACCCAATGAGTCCCCTTAATGGCCTACACCTGAATCTTCAAGTCCCTCATCTGCAGAAAAATCAAAGACAATGTTGACTGACAGCACCACCAAAGTGGAGTCCCAACCATAGTTCCAAAGAAAAAATCCATTAAAGTTGATCTCAGCTCCATCCTTCCTTTTTCACAGTTCCAGACCCTATGGACCGTAGATTTACTAGTTAGCTTGGTAGATTTATGATGTCTAATCCCCCCTTTCAATCCCCAGGTCATCAAGCCTAGCCAGCTCACATTCAGATGAAGAATGTTGTCCTGACACAGAAGATCCCTCTTGCACAGCAAAGGAATCTGGACAAAGGTTGATATTGGTACAAGAGAGGCAACCATGATTTTATGGGACAGAATGGGATAATGGCAAAAACCAGGACCCCCTCCTGCTGAATCTTTAGCAAGCATCTCGGGATGATTTTAGTAGAAGGTCCACAGACTGGCAAGGGCATCCTGGTTCCTGGCTTGTGGATAGTAATGACGAATAAAGAAAACTAGAAGGGGAGCATTCTTCTCAGGAGGACTTACCTTTAACAAGGAATCTTCCACTTAGGAGAGCATGAACATAGGCTGGAGTGTAGGGAGAAATTATGAAAAAGTTATCCAAAGTTATATCTATTCTGAGTGTTGTCTGGAACTGTATCATAGAAAAGCTAGGTTGAGAGTCAGGGGCATATTTGCACAATTCCAAGAGTTGTCCTGATGGTTCAAGTATGCTGACATGAGGTGAGCAAGGAAATACATTATTGAAACACGTATGTTTTCAGTCGTGCCTGCTATACTGCAGACATAATTCACACTTATTTCAGGGTTCAGCACAGAACTTCTCATCCTTCCACATCTAACTTGCTCATTGGACATTAAGTTGGGCAGCACAGTGGCTAAATGGTTAGCACTTCCGCCTAGCAGTACTAGGGTTGTTGGTTTGAATCTCAACCACGGCACCACCTCCCTGGAGTTTGCATGTTCTCCCTGTGCCTGCATGGGTTTCCTTCCACACTCCAAAGACTGGTAGTTTAATTGGTCCCTGTCTAAATTGGCCCTAGTATGTGTATGTATAAATGTGAGTTAGGGACCTTAGATTGTATGCCTCTTGAGGGTTAGGGACTGATGTGAATGTGCTATATATATGTAAAGCACTGCATAAATTGACAGTGCTATATAAGTACCTGATATAAATAAATAAGTCACCATCATCTCTGTCCAATTAGCAGAGAGCTGTCTCAGTATTCAGCAATGTAGTAGAAAACAGGATTTTGCAGTGTGATCATCCTGGCTGACATATGCGGGGCTAGAATTCATTACTGGAGATTGTGGGCACACCCTTTAGTGTTCGAACAACACCTGTCTGCTAGGATCATCTCTTCTTCACAGATAACTTTTTTATTGGTCCTACCCTGGCTTAGAATATTGTGATGAAGTTAAATAAGCTTATATGAGATTACTGAGAGCTATCATTATACCCCTGTACAAATCATTAGTAAGACCTCATCTGGAATATGGAGCTCAATTTTGGGCACCAATTCACAAAAAGAACATTGGGGAACTGGAGAAAGTACAGAGAAGGGCAACCAAACTGATAAGAGGCATGGAGGAGCTCAGCTATGAGGAAAGATTAGAGGAACTGAATTTATTCTCTCTTGAGAAGAGGAGATTGAGGGGGGATATGATCTCCATGTATAATACGTAAGGGGGGGATATGGTCAACATGTATAAATGCATCAGTGGTTCATATAGTGAACTCAGTGTAGAGTTATTCACCCTGAGGTCATCACAGAGGACAAGGGGGCACTCTTTACATCTGGAGGAAATGAGATTTAATCTTCAAACATGGAAAGGTTTTTTCACAGTAAGAACTGAGAAAATATGGAATAGACTCCCTCAAGAGTTGGTTTTGGCCAGCTCAGTGGATTGCTTTAAAAAAGGCCTGGAATCTTTCTTGGATACACAGAATATAACTGAATACTAACATTTATAGGTAAAGTTGCTCCAGGGAATATCTGATTGCCTCTCAGGGGAACAGGAAATAATTTTTTCCCCTGCAGGAGCAAATTGGATCATGCTTTGCTGGGTTTTTTGCCTTCCTCTGGATCAACTGTGGGTGTAGGATTATAACTTTTTTTTTATGGTTAAACTGGATGGGCTTTTGTCTTTTTTCAGCCAGACTGACTATGTAACTGTATTTTCACTAATGATGAGAAAAAATTATCGCTGATCATTGCCAAAAGTCTTTGCTACTTATAGTCCTTGCCACCTATACTGTAGAAACAAATATAATGTCTTTGCAAATATAGCCCTGGGCAGAGGTGTTTGTATTGCAAACAATAATAGCCAAAATTACAAATACAGAGACTCTCATGCAGATTAAGAAACAAACATTACATTTCAAAGCATTGATATGATGCAGGTAATTATTTGCCTGAAGTTTCATTTTAGTAGAAATACACCATAGTAGAAGGAAATAGCAGTTTATGTAACTTAAACTAAAATGATTTCTTACCTGAAAATGTTGCAAAATAAACACAAAAATAGTATGTTTTACTTTTGAATATAACCTAATAAATGCAGATTTTTGTTTTTTTCTAAATGGTGCAAGATCCAAAAAACTGTTGAGAAATGTTTTGAATATGCCATACTGATGTTTTCCCTTTAAAACTTTCCATTTTATCTAACCAGATGTCCAAATATAAAAGACAACACCATTGGGATAGAGGAGAATGGAATTTCTCTTACTTGTCGTTTTCATGTCACAGTGTTTAAATTCATAGGAGATTATGATGAAGTTCATCTCCACTGTGCTGTATCTTTGTGTGACTCTGAAAAATACTCATGCAAAATTGTAAGTAAAGAGTATCTTTGAGAATATTTTTCTTGATGATTAATGTGAGCTTATATCTTGTATTTTTTTGTTACTCAATATGCAATACTTACAATAAGCTAGTACATTGTTAATTTGATGATTGAGGGTTTTTTTAACTAGCTACATACATACATTGTACTTTATACCATGCATTCTAAAGTATATGTAAACCCTTATCTGTAGCTGTCTAGATCGCTAGGTATAGAACAGGATACTTTTTAACACAAGCTCATGGTATAACATCCACATATCAGGAATATGAAATGTTGAGGTAACAGACACTTTAAATATAATGAGACATTCTGTAGATGGTTGGGGACATGTCAAAGTCTCAAAATATGAAAAAAAAAAATCATCAACTTCACTACTTCTCACATTGCCATGTATGGGGTTAATTTTCTAAAGACAAGTAAACTGTGCACTTTGTAAAGTTTAGTTTCAACTCTGCAAGTTCAGTTGCCCCGGTGCTTAGTAAATGAGGTAAAGCTTCACTTTGCAAAGAATATCCAATTACGTGCAAGGATAATAAAAAAAAACAGCATTTTTGCTTGCACATGATTGGATGATGGAAGTCAGCAGAGCTTCTACTCATATATTAAGCTCTGGAGCAACAAAGTACCCAGTATATTTGCTTTTTGGAAATCAACCCCTATGTATAGCCAAAGCATTTTTAGCCTTTTGTTAAGTTTTGGATAGAGGGAAAGACTTTGAACTCCTGTCAGGTTTTACTGATATCTCAGACCCTGTTGCATGGATTTTTCTAATCAGAAGTTAAAGCAAAATCTTCAACTGGGACAGGAATAAAAAACACATCTTCTTCGCAGAATGGGACTAGGGACCACTATGGCCAGTGGAATATGTTCACCTTTCTTGTTCTAGCCACAGAAAAATGCTTTGTCTGTTGACACACACGACATTAGGCCCTAAGGACATCACAAATGCTAATAGACAGAATATTTAATCTTCCAAACAGATATGAATATTGATAGGGACCTATTCCCTCTACTGACAGGCATAGGTGCTCAACAGCATTTGGCCATTTTCCAATTATTTGCTATTTTGGACCCTTAGAAAACCCTCTTTACTCAGTTTCACATCAATATCACATGTTTTCTTTGGAAGTCATCAATCTGCATAAGTTGTTATATACTTGCACTCTTTAAAGTTTTTGAAAGGCCAAATTAAGGGCCACCTAACACTAGGCCAACCAAGGTTCCAAGACATGCAGGTGAGCTTTACAACAGCAGTATGGGTGTGGAAAACAAAGAATAGGAAATAGTTACATTTGTAAAACAACACTCTAAACTTTAGACAGAATAGTCATTATGAGGAAGATGCAAAAAAGTTGGGTGTAGTTTTAGCTAATTTATTGGAGGAACAACAGAAAAGGTTAAATAATTGGAAGTTATTTGTATTTTTACTTACTTCCATACTATGTTTACTTGACAGAATTGTCCTCAGAATTCCAGAAGTTCCAATGACCATGGACTGGACTCGAAAGAGCAAATTATTTCTGTTGGTCCAATAAGGAGGAAACGTCAGTATTTACTATACTTTCATTATTTCTATTTTTATCTTACAGATGTAAAAAAAGACTATTTACTCATAGTACTCATGAGGAACTTCTATCAGGATGAGGGAAAATGCCTTTCTGTAAGATTAAACTGTGAATAGAAGTTCAATGCTTTAACAAATTAAGTTTGACATGGGAGTAAAATAGATACTTAAAGTGTACGTATATTCAATCCTTGTTTTTTGTTTTGGTTAGTTTAGGAAAGGTTTTGAAGTTTTGACATGCTTTTATAAAGATGTAGGTCTAAAGTACTGGAACTTGGGCAATTACAGTCCATTTACATGGCACAAGACTTCATTGTTTGAGACAGCTCTTTTACATTAGGACAATACAGGAAGCGCCCCTGGGAGAAATCTGAAATGTTTTTGGACTTTAAATGCTTTGTAGAAATGACTTACAGGACTAAACAAATAAAAGGTATATGAAATAGGTTAGATAATGCTCAATCATAGCGATGACATGATTACAATGTAAGCAAAACTGTTATGAATGGCTTCCATTAATGACAGCTTACTTACTGTTATGTGCTGTGGTTGTCTGATAGCTATCATATGGTTTGATTAAGTGCAGCCAAGCATAGAATTACAATAATAAGCAAGCTGTAATAAATGAAAGCCATTCATGTCAGTTGAAACTTTTGCTCCTTTGCTTATAACAGTGATAATCACTGTTAGAAGCAATAATAGTGTAAAACAAAAACACTGATCACCAGAGTAGTAAAAAAAAAAATGTTACAATAAAGAAAAACTTTAAAAAAAATTAATTCAAAAATGATTTATTTTCTTTTAACATTGTGTCACCAGTCAGTGTCCCTGATCACTGCCACATCAGTCATATAATGACGCTGTACTGTAATTTGTGACTGTATGTAAAAAAAAAGTGATAAAAAAAACAAATTTCATTTAGTTTATTCATTTTCCAAGAAATTGTGACAAAAAAATTACATCTTCAAAAAACTCTCCATTCCTCTTACTTAATACCTTGGACTGTTTACTTTAAAAAAAGGGGTCATTTGGGGGTATTTGTCCTGACCTGGCATTTTAGGGCCTCAAGATATGAGATAGGCCATCAGTACATTAGGATTGATCAGTCTTCAAATATATTGTACATACCATAGTTCGTAGACTCTATAACTTTCACAAAAACTAAATAATATACACTGATTTTGGGTTATTCTTACTAAAGCAATGCAGCAGACTACGTTTTGGCATACATTTATGAAGAAAGATTATTTGTTTGCAAATTTCTTTTAAAAAAAAGCATGTTTTTTTTCAAAATTTTCTGTATTTTTTTCATTTTATATAACTAAAAAACCCATTGTTGATTAAATACCACCAAAAGAAATCTGTATTTGTGTGAAAAAAAATATTATATTAATTTAATTTGGGTACAGTGTTTCATGACCGAGCAATTGCTAGCTAATGTAGCACAGCGCTGAATAGCAAAAAATGTCCTGCTCACAAAGGGGTAAAACCTTCCAGAGGTCAAGTGTTTAAAAGAGAACATGCTCTATTTCTTTAGCAAATCAATCCCTCTAAATTGGAATTGAGAGTTTATGCCCTTGGTCACACTTCTATTATTCTAATAAAGAAATACATTTGCAGTCATCTACAACATACAGGATACAATAAAAAGGGCAAACTAATTCAACAGTATACACTAAGCACTGGAACCTTTTCATTAATAATAGTGTTGAAAATACTTTTATTATCTTCGAGTCAGAAAATGAAAACAAGTATATGAGCAACATTGATTCTTTACCTTGATTTTAGCTTTTGAAAATAAGAAGCACAATAAGTGATTCCACCATAAAGTTAATGCTGAACTCCAACCAGAATCTTTAGAAAGAGAAATAGTAAGAAAGGGCCTAAACCTTAACCAAAATATCCAATATCCAATCAAAAAAAATGCCTGCACATGAGCTTTAAAGTGTTACTAATCCCACAACAGTTACACTCACTGTGGAACCTAAGTGGTTAATCCTCTGGATTGTGTAAAAACGCTGTTTGATCCTGACTTCTCTGATCCTCCCCTTCTTCCAGTGTCCCTCTCTTATCTCCTAATAAGACATATTGTGTGGAGTCACTCTGCACATGCTCAGTTTGGTATGCAGTGCTAGAGAGGCTTTTTTTTTCTTGAGAGAGTGCATGTGAACAGCACAGGACCAATCAGCACTGTCCAGACAGAGGTCAGGGGTTCTGCATCCTCCTAGAGCAAATGAAAACTCCCCCTACAAGCTCTAACCAGTGCTTGGCTGGACACTGATAGAAGTCACAAGACTGCTCTAACTGCTGACGAGAAAAGGTATTTAGTGGTTTATATTTACTAAAATAATTGCACCTCCATGTTCTGTGTATGGTGGGAGACTAGATATAGTGAATGCAGGGTCCTGGGCTTAGTAACACTTTAAGCAAAATATAAACCCTGTTAGTTAGCAACAAGGGAGTCACTGGCACTGCCCAACTGAAACGCATGACCCACATCTCCTGATGGGTACCCCAAGGCCTGATGCTACTATCACCCACTGACCAGCCAGCATTTTTCTCTTTTGTGCTGCTTGTCAGTGCTGTAGAGCTGAGAAGAATTTAGCTAGTCTCCTCCCAGACTCTGTCATGTCACATGTCAATAGGGAGAGCCTATTGCTGCACTGCAACTGAGGTTAGGTGAGTACAAGAAGGGATGGAGCAGGATATAGTTTGTGCTGGGTGTCATTAGAGGAGGGATTTGAGCTTGAGGAGATGATTGGCTTGTACAGGGAATTGAGAGGGAGTAATTACATACCCTTGACCCATGCACTCTGTGCATTGCTTACACCTGACCTCTCCACTCTGTTCATTGTGTACCCTTTACCCCTGCACTCTTTGTTTTATGTACCCTAACGCCTGCGCTCTGTGTTATGTACTGCTGACCCCTTCACTCAATGAATTACATACACCATGTCCTTGTGTTACACACTTCTGACCCCTGCATTCTTGCAGTACATATTCCTGACCTCTGTACTCGGTGGGTTACATACTCTTGAGGTAGACTCAGACAAAGTGTTAGGTCTCAGTTTATTTTTAGTGTGCAGAAAAGCATATATAATGAAAGAGTTTAATTCAAAAATCATTATGCTGATGATTATGCATGGCTACTGAATGTAGAATTATCGGAAGGTGTTTTAATGAGAATAGATGCTCTTATTTTTGCATTATAGGTTTGGACTGGTGTGAGGAAAACGGGGGATGTGAACAAATCTGTACAAGCAGACTAGATGGACCTATATGTAGCTGTGTTACAGGGACCTTGCAGGAGGATGGACGCAGCTGTCGAGGTAAGAGATATCTGGAATTAAATCTGTAACCAAGAAAAAGCACCTAGGCATGCTGCTGCAGTTTAGTTATTAAAGTAGCATGTATCCTGGGAACCTGTCAATGCGTGAATGAATGTAATAATGTAATACAAATTTAGTCTGGAGAAAGGCTAAAATAAATATTGGTTTTGCATTAGTCATTATTCATTGTTAATACTCATTATTATTATTACGTTGCACAATGTGCTGTCTAGGTGAGAGTTGTGACTTGATGTTTTGCTTTGTCTTTTAAGGTTACTTTGCAGTAAAGCAAGGAAGCATAACAGCCTGTGTAGTATATTCATGTTCTTTAATAAACAAGAATGCTGTACATACAAACTCCTCACAATTTTAGGGAACCAATACACAACATACAGAGTATTACAAATATGCATATATTATACACATGCATGAGCTCTCTGTCCTTAGCATTGACAATGTATTCAAAAGAGATACACTAAACGTTACTTAACTTGGGTTTTATAGTACTTAACTTGGGTTACTGACACCCCAGGTGAAATCCCTTCTTCTAGTCTTCCTTGACTGCCCTTCTTTGCTTATCTCAGTTCTCAAGACTACTGCTTTGTTTGTGTAAAGCACATAACTGTGTTCAAGTCCTTTCTTCCCTATGTCTACTTATTGCCAACATCACTTTCTCTTCCACTAGCCTCCATGAACCAAACAAATTAATTATCATATGAATAGAGGAAGCCCAGCTTCTAAAAACAATACATGGTGCCCAAAATATATTATTCCATATATTTATGCTATACAGCCGACAGCTTCCTCCCAGCTGCCGGCTCTGAGGTCGCGGTGTGGGAGGTTCGTCCCTTGGTTTTTTCCCTCGTGGATGTGTTATTATAGAGGCTGTTATTGCTGGTGTTGGCTGGACACCTTCCTTGTGAGTGTTATACTTTACTAATAAAATTTTACTGGTTTTAAACGTACTGCACCATCATGTCTCTTCTGATTCCTCGAGCTTAGCCCATGTTATTGGAAGACCGTTTGCTGCTTAGCTATTCCATATGTGTTTGCCTAGCTGTTCCATATGTGCTGATTGGATCGCTATTGGTTGCTGTTCCTCTACTGGGATATCCTGCAGCTCATCACTCCCAGAGCAAAATGCTATCATGCTGGTTTATAATTTAACCTCCCTAGTGGTATTCCCGAGTGTAGCTCGGGGTAAAATGTCAGTACCGAAAGCGGTAACCCCGAGCTACACTCGGGCTTACCATGCGGCGCTGCATAGGGAGTCCCTGCAGAGCTTACCTTGTCCTTCACTCCCGCGATGTGTCCCCTGCAGCGTCCCCGGCCATCTCCTCCGGCCGATGCCGGCATCCGGCTTCTGTGTTCCGGTCCCTGTGACGTCGGGACGTACGGGCGCCGGCGGCGGCGGGAAATTTGAAAATTTTAAAAAATTTCATTTTTTTCCAAACAAATTTTACATAGTAAAACATTGCTGTTTCAACCCATTTCACATACATTTTGTCCCTAGTGCTTTGTCCTATGCCCTGCCTGCATTTTGTCTATTCTTTCTGCCTGGAAACTGAGAAAAGTCCATGGCGTCGATTTTGCGACTTTGCTCAGCAATGTGAGAACTTGGCGCTATATTTCAAATTTCAGTGTTTTTGGTTTGATTATATTATTGAATTAACCTCCCTGGCGGTATGATTATGTCAGGAATTTTGTACCAAAAGCGGTACTATTTTTTTGCATGGAAATTTGGTGTTACGTATTGTAGGCCTGCAATTCTTAGTAATTACTTACTTAATAAATACTCATAAAAAATAATAATATAATAATAAAAAATTTAATTCAATAATATAATCAAACCAAAAACATTTTTATTTATTTTCCATATATATTGCACATTTCATCATTGTTCTCATACAAACAAATTTGCATATCTTTAATAACATTTCTATCAATCTTTATTCCCAATTACCACCCCCACACTATCTAATTTCCCCCCACCCAAAAAAAAAAAAAAAAAACCTCCCTCCCCCAAAATAAACCCACCCACTCTGCATAATTCTATTATCCCTCTTCATACGCGAATATAGGGTACGAATCCTTCTATCTTTCTCACATAGTTACTTCATATATTTCACCATGAATTTTCCCATGTTCTCCACCTCTTATTGAACAACCCCATCCTGTCTTCCTGCATATAGCACAGTCTCTCCATCTTATAAATTTGATTAGTTCTTTCCACCCAATCCTCTATCTTCGGCACCTCTGGTTTATGCCAAAACTTAGGTATCAACCCCTTCGCCGCACTTAGATAGCACCATATACCCGAATCCTTGTAGTTATTTACTGATAACTCTGTACTATGTAGGAGACATACTGCTGGGTTCAGTCCTATCTTTATCCCCGAGATATTCTCAATTAATTGAACGATCATCTCCCAGAAACCTTGAATTTTTGGGCACTCCCACCATATATGATATAAGGTGCCTATTTTTCCACATCCCCTCCAGCACTCTAGTGAATTTTCCCCACATATCTTATACTCAATGTTCGGTGTGATGTGCCATCTCGTTAAACACTTGTAATTTACCTCCACCTCTCTCATACTTATATTCTCGTGTATTAATCTGTATATTTTCCTTTGCTTATCCTCGTCAATCTCTATTCCCAAATCTCTTTCCCATTTACCTATATACATTGGTTTTGTGTAAGTGTCTAACTCAGTGAGGATTTTATAAATTTTTGCGGTGCCTTGCCTACCATCACCTCGTGTTTCTAACAACCTCTCAAAGCCGTTCCAATCCTCTCTCGATCTGAACGGTCTTGGGAGGTTTCTGACAAAGTGTTTTAATTGATAATATTTCCATTCATCTATTTTAATAAAAAGTTCCCTTTTATCCCCTTTCAAATCACCAAGTGTTCTCAATTCCTGTCCATCCATTATGTCTCTCAGTTGGATATCTTCTTTTCTAATCCATTTCCCTATACTTTCCTCCTTGCCTGGGGGAAAATAATCCGTATTCCTCAGTGGTATTAGTTGTGAGTTAAAATCCCATTTCATAAATTTATGCAATTTGTCCCAAACATTAAAAACATTTAATGTAAAAACACTCGTGGTATCTTTTAACCCCCTATATTGTGCTGGTGCCCAAATAGTTCTCTTCAAGGTAACTCCGCTTAGTTCATTCTCAATCTGAACCCACTTTTTCCCCTCATAATTATATGTCCAATCATAGATTCTCGCTAAGACTACTGCTTTATAGTACCTTTTAATATCTGGCACTCCCAAGCCTCCTCTCTCTTTATTTCTATTTAACAAGTCATATGATATTCTGGGTTTTTTATTTTTCCATATATATTTTGTTAACATCTTTTTTATTACTTTAAAAAAGGCCTCCGGAATTTTGATTGGAATCATCTGAAATTTATAGAGGATTTTTGGTACAATTATCATTTTTATCAGGTTTATACGGCCTATCCAGGATGGGTTACCTCCTTCGAATCTCCTTAGTTCCTTCTTAATCTCATTTAAGAGTGGGATATAATTTAATTTATACAGGTTTATATATGAGGCAGAAAGTTTCACCCCCAAATACTTTATCTCTCTATTTTTCCATATAAAGGGGAATTCTTTTTGTATTTTTTCTTTTTCACTGTTTGAAAGGTTTACATTCAAGATCTCAGTTTTGGTTGGATTAATTTTCAAGTTTGATAACTCCCCATACTCTTTTAAGCTCTTCATTAGAATTGGGAGTGTTATCCTAGGATTTCCCACATAAAACAAAAGATCATCCGCATAGGCAGCTATTTTATGTTCGACTTCCCCAATCTGCACTCCTTTTATATCTAAGTTCTTCCTAATAGTTGCCAATAATGGTTCCAATGCCAATACATACAACAATGGAGATAATGGGCAACCCTGTCTAGTTCCATTTGACATTCTGATAGGTTCCGACCTCTCTCCATTAACCATTACTATCGCTGAGGGCTCTCTATACAGCTTTCCTATCCATTCTCTCATTCTTACTCCTATTCCTAGAGTTTCCAGGGTATCCATCATAAAACTCCAATCTACTCTATCGAATGCCTTCTCAGCATCGATCGAAAGTACTATTACCGGGGTTTTCCCCTTTCTAGCTTTTTGGATAAGCAACAGAGTTCTTAGGCCATTATCTCTGCCCTCCCTCCCCGGGACAAAACCCACCTGGTCCCCCTGAATCCATTCTGGCATGAGATCTTTTAGTCTATTTGCTAGGACCTTAGCATATAGCTTGATGTCTATATTCAAAAGTGATATCGGTCTAAAGCTAGAGCACTGAGAGGGATCCTTCTCTTCCTTTTGTATCAGCACCACATGGGCCTGTAAAGATTCCCTTCTCACCTCCATCTCTCCTCCCAGGGCGTTCATATATCTCTTCAGTTTGGGTATTAACAGGTCACTGTATTTTTTATAGTATCTCACTGTATATCCATCTGGGCCCGGACTTTTCCCCGTCGGAGTGTCCTTTAATGCTCTTATTATTTCCTCCTGTGTAATTTCCAAGTCAAGGGAATTCAGTTGATCATACTTTAACTTCGGTAAACCTGCATTTTTTAAATATTCCCTTCTTTTCTCTCTTCTCTCATTTCCATTTATATTTACTGGGTCTTGGGAGGCGATATTATATAGCTTGCTGTAATATTCTTTAAACACCTCTATGATCTCTTTAGTAGAGTAAACCATTTCCCCCTTGGGGTTTTTTATTTTCTCAATATAATTTCTATTTTTCTTTTTCCTCAAAGCTCTCATTAAATATTTTCCTGGTTTATCTCCCCATTTATATCTCTCACTTGCAACTTTATTAAAGACTCTTCTCTTCTCCTCCTCCAGCAATAGCTCTAGTTCTTCTTTCTTTTTTATCACCTTCTGTTTTATCTTTTCTGATCTTTTATTTTTATGTATTTGCTCTAACTCAGCTATTTCTTTTAACAGCCCAGTAAATTTTTCTCTTATTTCCCTTTTCTTTTT